CTACAGAGTCACAATTATATTTAAATATATCATTTTATAAGAGAAAAATAAGAAAAATAATTGTTAAAAAATGCTACCCAAATGATGAGCGGCGGTGTCTCGCAGCACCTATAATCAGAGTCGAATTCCCTCTATTTAGTTATGAACGTGCCAGCATCCACTCAACAGATTGTTACTTTGAATAGGTACATATACTGTAACAGTATGTTATAGTAACAAGTATATAGAATAATTTACCAGAGGGAGACTTTGTACAAAAGTCATTTGCTTGGCCACCTCTGTCCCATTCGTGTTTCTACCGTGAAACAGTTGTGTTTGCATGGCTGTGTTTCGGTTTGAAGGGTGGGATATGGTAGTGAATTTACAGAGGAATAACACCTGAGTCCTCAGGTATGGCAAGGTATCATAGGCGAAACAGCATATTCTGTTATGTCCATGGTACTGCTCCTGTCTATAGGCGACGGTTACCACTTTCCATCAGGTGGGCCGTCAGCTTGTTTGTCATTCTAAGTTGTATAAAAAAATATAAAAGTTATCAATGCAGGGCCGTAGCTAGACACAAGTTTGAGGTAAAACAAAAGAAGTTTTTATTAGGACAGAATTAATAATTAAGTGACTTCGAAAAATCGAAACTGTCTAATTTTCTTGAGGACTTTAATTTTTTGGTAGGGCATTGGGCCTTTGAAGGTAAAGCATTGATTTTCAATGCCTCCCTTTGCTATGGCCATTCATTAATGATACATAAAACTAGGAATCTTTATTGCTAGCTTTTACTCGCGGCTTCGTCCTCGTGACCGAGATATATTTACTGACTAGGATAAATAAAATAGCCTATATCCTTCTCCATCCCTTATAGTACGTGTATATTAAACTTGATAGTTAATAATTAAGCTATTAAGGCACTATAAGATAACAAACAAACACACTATAAAGAAAGCATTAGAACAGAAATTTCATGATACGAAAATTCAATTACTTAAGATTATGTTCCACAAGGAAATACTTCACTTGTGGCAAACCAAGTTCTTTTGATTTAAAAACTAAACTACTTAACCGATTTTGATAAAAATTTCTATGGTTCCAGTCTGTAAGTAAATTCTTTTAGATAAAAACCGAATTTTTTAAATCGGTTTACAACTGACGGAGTTATGAATTAATAATGTGTGATAAATAAAAGAATAAACACACGTAAATACAACTCCAAGTTTTCTGTTGGAGAAGACCGACTGGGGTATTAAAAAGGTTCTGTATATTAATTAAAACCTATTTACATATACAGAACCTCCCATTTGTGTGACCAACTCGTACTTCGCCGGATATATTTTTTTAAGTGTATTCTGCGTCCTTCTTATCCAAGCTATGCTTCATAATAAATTAATTTCCCTCAAACCTTATATAGTCTATTTGTAGTTACAATTCTTTATAAATGTAATATTAATTTAATCTTAACGGCTAATTAATTATCCCATAACTCAAGTCAACGAGTATAAATAATTAATTTAATTAGTAATACAACAATTTTGCCTCATACCTTATGGGCATGAGTGATTCTAATCTATGCTAACTCAGACGAAACTATAAATCTAGGCCGGATAAGACTTATTTGTAACGAATTGATTGAATGCACTAATTATATTTATATAACTTAGAATGGCAAACAAGCTGACTGCCCACCTGATGGAAAGTGGTAACCGTCGCCTATAGACATGAGCAGTACCATGGACATAACAGAGTATACTGTTTCGCCCATGATACCCCCTATGCGTTGCCATTCCTGAGGACTCGGGAGTTATTCCTCGGTACCCAGTAAATTCACGCCATATCCCACCCTTCAAACCGAAACACAGCCATGCAAACACAATTGCTTCACGGTTGAAACACGAATGGGACAGAGGTATCCAAGCAATCGACTCTTGTACAAAGTCTCCCTCTGGTAAAATTATTAGTATTTATTTAATTTTTAATACACAGTTTAATTACAGTAGAGCGTCGATTATCCGAAAGTTTCTATTTAAATCACATATCTATAAATATTGTGTTACCCTCAAATCGCATTATATTCTACCCAATCCCCTAACTTAAAACAAACAGAAAAAAATGGTCGGCTCAGTCTAATGTCTACCGCGAACCGCCGTGCAACATTTTGCTGTTTTGTGCCTATCTTGATCAAAGACGTACCTACTGTGTTCAGAATTCCCTGTACCTCCTAGGCATTTCATATTCATCGCTCCCAAGCGATACCTTATATATGTAGTGTGGTTTTAAACGAGTAGATTAAAATAGATCGGCGCTATTGTGATATTCACGTGGCGTGACCTCTTGAAGCCTGTTGCATCCTGAAAGTATACTATAGTTTATAGTCTTTTTTTTTTATAATTACTATTTAAATCTGCCACTTTCCTTAACATTCGGTTAACCAAACAAACGCTTGACCGACTAGCTACTCGCTCGCACGTGTAGGCAAACTACTGCCTTCATGTAGCAAAATTGATGATAATGAACATGATGAAAATATACCAACTACTTCTCAAGCTTTTACATGTCTAATTACTGCTTTGCTACAGTTTTTTTTATATTAATTCAATAATTTATATATATTGCATATTCGTGAAAATTTATATCAAGCTGTGCAACATACAAGTAAAGAAGAATGTATAAGTAAAAAAGAAAATAATACTTTATAATTAATAATACATGTAAAATATACATTTATTCGTATTACAAATCACATGTAGGTAGTTATTATTGGTAAATAAAATTACCTGTGGGGGTACTCTTGAATTTAATTCCAATAGATCGATATTGGAATTCGTCAATTCAAATTTCAATACTATCAACATTCTAGATTTTTCTATATATTAGTGTAACTTGCCAATGCAAACCATTACAATGCAAAAATTCTGTTTATGCTTTACTTAAGAACGATGAATTTGGATTTTTTTATATTTGAGTGAGTTCGGTTTTCAGGAAAAAAGTATAATATTTATAAACATATTTACATAAATAGATAGGTCAATGTGAGTTTGTATATCATTTCAACCAAATCTGTCAAATATAATTAAGTCTATTAGTTACTTTTGAATTCTGTTACATTTTAACACGATCAATTTAAAGGTTTCATAAGCTTACAGAGCAAAGACATTCCAACTTACAAATATGTAGTAAATTGGCAACCAACAAATATGTAGAAATGTTCTTATATCCGGTGAACCATCCCACGCACAGTCGAGTATGGTTCTAAGCGAATCAAATCAGTAATTCGGAATATGTTCATTAAAGGGGCATATTATTCAAAACCCGTTAGCACAATTACAAATAGCTGATAAATAGGCTTAGATTATATAGATAGAGTATCTCTATACAAATGCTTCGTGAAAAGCAGGTCAAGTTTTTTATACATTTTTGCGTGATAAATAATTATGTGTGTTTCCTTTATGCCTTCTATATTTATCTTGTTTTATATTTTTTTAATAGGTAAAAACTCGTTTTATTTATTAAATAATTAAATATAGATACGTCAAGATACATTATGTGTGTAAATATATAGAACATTAATAAAGGAACGAGTCATCTAATTTGATAATTAGCTGACAAAAAGTTGCTCCGTTTTTGAGTTTCGAAGTTCTAACTATATAATCTAAGTAGATAGGATACTTAATATTTTCTGAAACAAAGTGGAGACTTTACTCGTGTCTACTGCCAAGAATCAGTACTTGCAAGGCCGTGTTTCGGTTCGAAGAGAAATGTCGCAGGAATTACAGGGTACGGACGCATAAAACTTTGGTATCACTGTATTTATTCTTCCATTTCCATGGTGTTGTTCATGCCACTATCCATCAAGTTGGCTATCGGATTATTTAAGATTACATGTACATACATATATTACCGGCGACTTTCTCTACGTGATCGGATAAAAACATAGTCTTTCTCCATCCTGTGTAGGTAGTATGTGTATACCAAATTTCGTAGTGATGTTTAAGATATATATTATACTAACATATCTATATAAAAGTGTATTTTTAATGGATGATAATGAAATGGTAACCCTGCCTGTGCTATCGGTATATATTGCCAAGGCAACAGTGAGGGATGATTCGTGAAGATGAAAAGACAGGTCAGTTAGCCCATCGATGATGACGTATTTAACGATAAATTAGTTACTATAGTTTACAGGATGAACCGCATGGAGGTCGACCTGATAGGGTATATGAGGACTAACCTCCCCATTACTACCAATCTTTTCCCCCCTATAAGAGTGTATTAACATTAAAAAAAAAACACCTTAAATACGAAAAATACGTCCGCATGTCGATCAGAAATATATCTTTTTAGGTGCCTCGAGACGGTCGCAATAAATTCTCTTGTCGTGTCAATTCTGGAAGGCTATCGAATCATTGATACAATAAAAGGGATACCGATGACTTGTTTTCTTAATTGGTACTTCATGCCTTCAAAATGTTTCACATCGGCTCGTTTTGACGTAGTCCGTCCGTTTATATGATGTACAGTGGTAAAAACTGGATCGGAATTCATTAATAACAATGACTTATTGCAACTAAGGTCCAAGTGAAATAATATTCGATTCTAAAAACGAGAATTGTAGATTAAATCAATACATATAATAAAATAGTAACTGATCACTGTCTGTACATAAAAGATATATAAGAAAAACTACTGTATTTGCTTTACAAACTTAATAGAAGCCGAAACCTCGTTGTTCAGAATTTTTATCTGTTTGTCTGTACGTTTGTGCGCGCTAATCTCAGAAACGGTTTAACCGATTTGAACGCAGTTTTACTAATGCGTTGCGGTTTGCTCCATTTAAACATTTAACAATTGAAAAACGAATGGGACAGAGGTGCCCCAGCAAACGACTTTTGTACAAAGTCTCTCTTTGGTATCAATTTTACATTGTTTAAGAGGAAACGTTTTCATAAATATAGGTACAGCTAGCAACAAAAAAAAATGTAATTTTGAAATTTTATTTATTTATTTTTCAGATGGCGCAAGATCCCACCGAAACCCCGTCCACTTCTACATCGGGAGACAGCGCTGGAGACCAATAAGCACCCGGTCTTCACCCAACACGCTGCGCAGTGGGACCGCGTTACAATGTGAAAACAAGACTTTATTAGTGTTAATCTGTATAATATATTTTAATCGAAGACACCCACGGGAGCACAAGTCATACGGATAGTTTTCCTACTGTCGTATTTTTTCAACTTATGGTCATACTTAATTTATACTTTGGTGCGCATTGGATTTTTTAAAAACGTTACTATGGATGGCGTATAGTGATATACCTATTTTAAAATTAAACGCAATCCTTAAAATGAAAGTCACCGGTGCATAACAGTTAATAACAGTTATTTTAACATCCCATTTTCGGAGATAGTTATTGACAAAATAATTAATCCAATTGCCAACCAATTTTAATGCAATTGCGTCGTCTCATGTGCAATCTAAGACTTGTGAACGAGCAAAACATAAAAGACGAATTAAGTAAACATTATTTATATAATTTTTTACAGATGGCAACCTTATTTATGTGCTTATTGGCTTATAATTAAACTGCAATAGGTCTGTCAAGACTGTGGCCCGTACCATTTTTTCTTCACCCGTGACATTTATAGCCAACACTAATCATTATTAAATGAACAACTATTCCATTCACCTAATCGAAATGTATTAATATATCTACAATAAAATTTTACCTGCTTCGATTTTCAGCGTTTGTCACGAAGCAAGTTACCTTTACTGATAGTGTAACATATTTAAGGCCGTCGTTCCATAGGTTATTTCACATACCATCAGAACAATCGCGTCGCTTGTTTCCGTTATTGTAAAAAAACACGTTATTAATAACTAGGTGATAAATACTGATTAAAATATATAATTTAAACACGAGGTTCATACCTTGTTTGTCATTCTCGTAAAAACTGTGATTTTTAAAAGAAAATGAAATAAGTTAAAACGATTAATTGGTTAACTTGTACTGTCGGTAGCGATATAATCATCGGGTCATTGTCATCGCATGCGCATCGGTACACGTCGCCTTTGATCTGGCCAAAGATTTACAATGTTGCACTTTTGTATTCATAGTCAGGAGAAAGTGGGATAAATACAATTTACATAAAAATATATGGATTCAAATTGCTTTATTGCAAATAGAATTATTTTTGTATTTTATTTACATTCTTTTTATTGAAACTGGAATTTTGTCTTTTTTTTTCTATTAGTTTAATGTCACACTTAATTGCAACTGACTTCAAAAAAAGGAGGAAGTTCTCTTAGTCAATTATAATTCTATTAATAAATGGATTTAAAGATTTCTTTTTTTTTTATCTGAAAGGATATACTTTCATATTGGTCCTATACACCTTTTAATAAAATCGATTCAGTAATTTGGTACTAAATCGAAATAACTGGTTTTGTTAGGGTTGAAGTTACTGTTTTTCTGTATGTGACAATAAATATGGGATAATATTTTCTTTTTTCTTCTTTTTTCTTTCATAAGTGGTTGGGAAAACAATCGATTCTAAATAAAAATTGGAAAAAATATTGACTCACAAAAATATAGGCAAGAACTCTTTGCTTAAAAGGTATTATTTATTATCTATCATAGTCTTAAAGGGATATCTAATTAATAAGTATATAAAAAAAAAGATTATAATTTCGTTTCCTATCTGAATTGCATTAAATCTGTAGTAATACCAAAAAAAGCGACAACTATTCGATAAAAAACGCAATAAATAGCATGTTATTTTGTGGCCGGCGGGCGAAGCGCAAAGCACGACGCGCGATGGAACGCGATAGAATATCGGAACTGTCATCGCGATTGGGTCGATTGATACTAAATGTTAGTGGACGCGTCTTGCAAGCACTAGTTTTCAAAGTAGGCACACCACTAAATATGTAGATATAACCTTTTTGTTTTAATTTAAATATTTATTATTATTTGTTATACAACATTCTTATATATAGAGGAACTGCAGCATATTTGGAATACTAGTTTGATTTTTGAGAATAAATTGAAAGAGGAACGGGATCGGTAGGTAAAAAAAACATTTAATTATTGTCAAAGTATTAAACTTTAATAATGAGAACAATCAAATATAACAAAAACCAGAATCTTTATAAAAATGCCTATGCAACTAGAAAACTCCAAAAACTATATTTGACTTAGAGTGCAGGTAATTTGGAATATAGTATTCCAAAATACATTCACATTTTTTCTTTGTCAATTGCTTACACTTTTTCTTAGAAACGAATAGATTTCTTATCTTTGTAACAGTTTTATTAATCTTTAGTTCTCTAGATAATCAATCTTTTTCAATAATCAATCACAATAAACACTGATCAGTGTTTAGTTTGAATTTATAATTTACTATCCTTAGTTACTCTTGCAGTAATCACAAGTATACACACCGGATTCATAACCACCACAAGCACCATGAACCCACAATTCGCACATTAAATACTGTATCCATTCTTCACCCCTTTTATTCTCGCTATATTTTCCGTTACAGAAATATACGCAGCGTCTTCGTCAGTAGGGACTGCATCTCATCTCTCTTGCTACATCGTCGGAAGAGTCTGTGTTATTTCCAGATATAGCCCTAGGGTTCGGATCTGATGAATCACTCTCTGTCATATAAAGAAATATGACAGAGAGTGATTCTTCAGATCCTTGTCTATTTTGCTATCTTTTTCTTGCTCTTTTTCTTAATATTTTCTCTTTGTTTTGTTTTCTTTATCACTCTTTTTAAATTGTACATTCTCAAGATCTTTTTTTTATAAGAAGAACTTGAAATTACTGCCGATCTCGCTGGCTTACCGCCTCTAATGCTAGTATTCTTTTTTATTACTACTCATAAAATATGCATAAAATATGGAATATTCCAAATTATGTTCACTCTCGGTATTCCAAATTAACAACACACCAACCTTACCTAAAAATCCATGTCATATTTTTAATTCTAGAAATATTCACCAAACCATTGTAATATCCTAAATTAACAAGGTCAACTAGCTGTTTAAATAATTACAATAAAGATTTAAAGTATTACAGTAAAGATTACAACGGATTGCATTCTTACCGAAAAAGTTTTCAAAACATGTGTCTCGTTTCTTTGGGGCTGGTAGCCGGAATGTCAAAATGGTGTCCTGATTTTAACTATGTATGGCTTCGTATATCGAATGGCGTTATGTTTACTTCAAAAAAACACAGATAGCGTTTATATTGATTCAGATATGGAAGTATTCCAAATTACCTGCAGTATTCCAAATATGCTGCACTTCCTCTATTAATGTAATATTGTACGAATAAATTGAAGAATTAAGAGGTCGGTTTGAATCAGATTATTTGGCAGCAAAACTTATGTATTGCAATTTGTAGAATGATTTATAATAAGTTATTTATATCGTATAATAAATGCTCATTGCATGGTTATTTTACTTTATATCTATGGGAATTCTCGGCGTATGAGTTCAACTCGCGACTTATTCGCGTTTTATTTGGTAAATCAAAATAAATGAAATTTAAGAAAGCCAACCTATACATATATAATTAGATTACCACAGATTTTGAAATAACGAATTATTCTACAATTCATTATTCTTTTTTTGAAAATTCAACTTAAAAGATATTTATATGGAGACAGTAACAGGACTTTCTGTCTGACGGCCCGTATAAATCGTTTCTATGTAAAAGCTAGGGGTTGGTACAAATGGCACGCAGGCGTCGGGCGGGGCGTATGTAGCGCCGCCCTCTACATTATGTACAACTTGTATTAGGTACTTGTGTAAGGTAGTTAAGGATCGTCTAGTACCGTTTTATTGTCGTCCGATATTTATCTGTTAGTTGGTCAATGTTGGCGGTGTGTTTGAACAAACATTGGTATGTTTGTTGTGCTTGGTAGTATGAGTCAAATGTTTGTTAGTTTTTATGCATTCATTTTATTTGTGACATATTACTAATATTAAAAATATATAAATTTCTAAATATGTTTGTTACTCAATTACGCTTAAAAAGCAGTACGGATTTAAATGAAATTTTATATATGGGTAGGTTATTTCTAACACACTTTTTATAGTCGGCAGACTAGCTGTATCTCGTGGTTTCGTCCGCGTGTTTCAGTGTATATAACAATCTATGCCCTAAGTTAAAATATAAGCTATCCATGTAACCAAAATTTATTCAAATCAATTCAGTAGTTTTTGTAAAAATAGTAGTAAACATCCATCTATCCTCACAAACGTTCAGATATATTAATAGGTTATATACAGGCAATGCTGTGAAAATCAACTAGTGTAAAATAAGGGCAATCTAGATTTATTTATAAGGGATGCAAAAACCTGACTACATCTATTTTTAAGACCGACCACCAAGAAAACAAGTTGCTCGTGCGTGACAACCCTAGCGTGTAGAGGGGAAAGAGATTGTTAGTAATGGGGATGTTTGTCCCCATCGTTAACAATATACCTTGTAAGGTCGACCTCCACGTGGTCCCCTCTGGAAACCATCGTAGTTAATTTGTGTGAATTCGCCGCGATGGGCTAACTGGCCTACCTTCATCCTCATTTCATCCTCCATTGGTACCCAGCTATTGTATACTGTTACTATTCCATTTTCATTCATAAAAAAAACCCTAGTGTGTTGGCCCCATACATTACTTATACAGAAACTGTTGGGCTGTATGTATGTTTGCTATATTCCAAAGAGTAGGTAACTAATTATAAATATTCATACCTGATGAACATAAGCTTCCCCCATAGATTGCCATAAGGAACGGTCCTCAACCATCTGTATCCATTGACTCCCTGCAATACATTTGAATTGTCACTCCATCTAGTGGGGGGTCGTCCTGCGCTGGGTTTCTTTTATGAGGTCGCTACTCAAGATCCTTTTCCCCCTATTTAATATCGGTTCTTCGAGCTATAATTAAAATTAAAAGTAATATGTTAATAAAATATTAATTTCGTTACAAACTTACGATAATGGGTTTAGTCTTTGTGGCAGACCTTTTAGGCAATAATTATAAGCCAAACTAAAACAGTAATAATATATTTTAAATAGTAAACATATAGATAAAATGCCTAGTAAAAAAGACTCAGGAATGTTATAAATTGTCTGAAATGCGCCGTGTGTATATGTTTATATTTTTTTTATTTTTACACATTTACATAATTCTACTAAAGATGGTATAAATATAATTCACATTAAAACCATGAAACGGCCATCCAGACGTAATAAATCATTTCCATCCGACATTTTGTAAACTTTTATCTTTAAATCTATTTTTGCTATTCACTTGTTAAACTATCACTTACTCGAATGTAGCATTATTTCGATAGTGTTTAAAACAACTACTTAATTCATTGTTAATAATCAGTGTGCATTTTTCGATAACATTTTTCGTTTCGAACGCACGTTTAATAGGACTTACGTTTCATCCTACATGTTATAGAAGTCTAAATTAAAAATTATTTTATATAAATGGATTGGATCTCAAATTAAGGAATATTTTCTATTGGCTTATCTTTATAATTATTAAATAAGAATTAATTTCACATCACTAGTTTACGTCATGAAACAAAAAACAAAAGAGTATGCTAGTCAAGATTTACAACATGGAAAATTGTTTAAATTTTAAATTTCGAATATATGTTTTTAAATTTTTATAACTGATAACCAGTTATAGTGACAACGAATATTTACGTAGTAATTATAGAAGACCTTAGATTATATAGATAGAGCGTCAAAGATCAAGAATTTTTAAAAATTTAGTCAGATAATTTGACGTTTGGCTGACTTTTTTTTATTTAAATCAAATCGTGCTTTTTTCAGAGTTGCAAGTAATTAGATTAAAATGTTCCCAGACCAAGTCGATTTTTTAAATTTTAATCGGGAACTACATATTTGTTCTTGTATTATATAAATATAGGTACATATGTTCGAATTAATTATAAATTAATATACATGTATTAAATAAAATGGTAACCATTTTCAATTATTTTAAAACAAAAACATATAACAAGACTATACTTGGATATAAATCAAAGTAATCAGCAAAGATAAGCATCAGTACGATACATTATGCGTTGTTTATTTTCTTTCTTACAATATAATTACCAGAGGGAGACTTTGTACAAAAGTCGATTGCTTGGGTACCTCTGTCCCATTCGTGTTTCAACCGTGAAGCAGTTGTGTTTGCATGGCTGTGTTTCGGTTTGAAGGGTGGGATATGGCGTGAATTTACTGGGTACAGAGGAATAACACCTGAGTCCTCAGGAATGGCAACGCATGGGGGGTATCATGGGCGAAACAGTATACTCTGTTATGTCCATGGTACTGCTCATGTCTATAGGCGACGGTTACCACTTTCCATCAGGTGGGCCGTCAGCTTGTTTGCCATTCTAAGTTCTATAAAAAAAAAAAAAAAAAAAAAAAATAATTTCTCCCATACCTATACTGAGAAATAAATGTATATTATGGTAACCCTATTCACGCACTCATAGATGTAAGTGTTGACATGTTTCTAATGAAGCATTCCTATAGAGACACTATCTATATAATCTAAGTTGTAAATATATTCGTCCATTATTCCATGGAAATTATATAATTTCCATGCTAAATACATACTACATAAAAACAAATTTGTCCATTAACTTAATTTGTTCTTGTTGTTAGCTAAATGGAATTAAAATAAGGTTTCTGGGTTGTTTTTGATGGGTTTTTCTTTCGTATGTAATGACTTTTTTTTATTATTATTAATCAGGACTAAGCGTCATTGTCAGATTTTGATAAAAAAGTCACGGGATATCGACCTCATCACGTCCATACAAAAGTTTTCATTATAGGCTGTATAGCTTAGTACCTTTGCCTTTCCATTTACTAAATGCGTCCATTGTAGTTTATCATCTTTAGTGTCTTTCAAACGTGTTCTAAATTTTCAAACATATTGAAACTATGTCATTAATATTAAATTCATTGTGTAAATATCTTGTGTATATGTATAATAAATAATTAAGATTAGGTTTGTCGTTTTATTGTTCCTAACAAGGTGAGGGAACAAGAATTCAATAAAAATACGGTATTGAGTCTTATGTACCTATGTTTTTTAATATATAAATGTTGGGTTAAATACAATGAATAATGTTCAAAATGAGTCTACGTGTTTTCTGATTTATGATATTAACATAGGTAGGTATCTTTTTGTTTAATTAGTTTTCATATTATTAAAATTAAGATTATAGCATTGATAATGATTAAAATTGAGAAGTGACATTAAAAAAAGTCATTAATAAAAAACTGTTTTATTAAAAAGTGTTTCACGAAAGATATCATTCGAATTTAAACAAAAAATAGATACCACTCGTACAGTTTTTTTTTTTACCAAATTTTTGCAGCAGGCAAGAATTTTACAGACTTCCTCTAATGCTCTAGGTAAAGTGACCTAAGAAATTCTGTCTAAGAAATTCCCAAAAATGTAAAAAAGTGCCTATTTAGGCTAAACGAACCATCTTTAGTGAAACGCTGTCTTAATCATTCATGAACTGCTTTACCTACGTCATTTTAAAATTCTGAAAAAGTGTAATGTTTTTTATTTTTAATAATTATTAGCCTAAGAACTGAAATTTTATAATTAACAATGTACCTAGTTACTAGTTGTAAATTGTGAATGAATCCTAGTAATTTTAAGATCTTTTAATTAATATTAAGTTAGTAATAGATATTGTCCCTACTTATTTATGATTATCATTGTAATATTTAGGGTACTAAGGACTTCAATTTAGACTTTAACTTCCGCCCATTCATTGATACGACACATCACAATTTTATTTGTGATAAATATACCTAATACATTAAAAAATGTAACTTAATACAATTTTGTCCAATTTTACCAGTCCATTTAAAAATTTAAGTAGGTTCGAATATTAAAATTTAAATTTCTAACATTATTCCGTCATGATAAAAAGGCCAAAGCTCTATCCTATTTAGCTACATTCTATGAAAAAAAAATATATAAATTTGTAGGTGTATACCTAATTTAAAATAAAAATATGGTCGTCCATTCTTTTTGGTGCTTAAATCACAATCTTCCTAAAAGTGTAACAAAATTTTACAATATTTGAATATTCTTACAATTTTCTTCTCTAGTAAGTAGTAACCTAACGGCACATTACCTAAATACCTTAGATTCTAAGCTTAGATTATATAGATAGAGCATCACGTCAAAAACTTGTCCATAGCTAACTTTTTTAATCAAACAACTCGCCATTTTTTTTAGTGTTGCAAGTAATTGGCTTAAAAATTTCCTAGATCTGGTAGATTTTTTAAATTTGAATTGGCAACAGATTTTTTTCTTATTATTATTAATATACATATGTATGTATTGATTTTATATATTAATAAAAAAAGCGGCTATTTTTAATGATTTGTAAACAAAATTATATTTCAAATATATACTCCGATATAAATCTAAGTATTCAGTAAAGATAAGTATCATTACATATTTATCTTGTTCTTTTAAATAATTTTGTAATGTTTTTATTTTTAATCTTATTTTTTTTTTCATATAACCTATTTACGCACACAGATAAAAAAGTTGACCTGTTTTTGGCGAAGAATTTGTATGGAGACACTCTATCTATATAATCTAAACTAAATACATAATAAATGACAATCCATCACAGTAGTGTACCTTAACAAATTTAACAACAAAGCTATTTAAGATTAGATATTAAGGGGAAATAATGTAATTTTGAGAAATACATCGACTTCAATGGGATTCACTAGGTAAAGTTCGCGTGCGCGGGAAACTATTATTTTTTTTTTTATATAATTTTGTTCAAACGATATATATAATCTTATTTTACAGATGAATGGATAAATTAACAATCATTTTTATGTTATTCAATTGCCTGTTTTCATAATACGATGATGCGTTAATTGTTATTTTATTACAAAATGTGTTTTTTATTTATAGAATGATTTTTTTTTATTTATAGAACGCATCGCAATCGTTTTTGTTCAATACTTAAGTATCTATTATTTCCTTTGCCAAAACATTTTGTATAATGTTCATTAAAAACGAATATTCATATCTTTCATAATTAATACCTAAATTATACAATAAAAAAAATAACTCCAGAGAAAATTAATTATATGGCTCACTTACCTTTTGATATAATTTATGTACATATTGCATGATCATGTTTATTGCATGCCACTAGAGATACCTTGTAGTCGTGCGACCACGGGCCAATTACGACACCACGATCTCTTAGGTCAAAATATATAATCAGCCATCTTCGATAACTATCAAACACAATGGTAGAAAAGTTGTTATTCAATGAGTTCGTTATGCTAAATCTATGTATATACATAGTTACAGGGGATCTACCATGAAATGTTTTCTGAAATGACGGAGCCAAACGAAACGTAAATTTGTAGTTAAAATTACATAATACCTACCGTTTAAAAATATTAAAAATTTATTCCTTTAGACGTATGTGTTAAACTCCATTTAGTGAGCCGATTTCAGTATGAACGAAAACATGAAATTGAGTTCGAAAATTTGGAATTTCCTTTCATAGTAGATCATGGTGTACTCATGACAAAGAACAAAATCTCAAGCACGTGGCAGCTAATTGTGATCTGTTTCAATATAACTTAAGGAAAAGGTAGCTAAGATTTGTTGAAATTATTACAGAAACACTCTCTAAAATTAATTACATATAAATGGAAAGATTCTTTCAATTATTCCTTTTTTTTTATTTTTAAAACAGATTAATAGACAAAAGAAAAATATTACCTACATAATTTAATAACCAATATGAAATTTATTTCTTATATTAAATATAGCTGGCATTTTATATAATCAGAAAATATTCAAATGTGCTCGCTATATCTACGTAAGTACCCATAGATCTATTGAACTATATAAATGGTCTCTGTGAATATTAATAATCCCGCCTGCGCTAGCGAAGTAGCAGTAAGTGATTATTGGTGAGAATGAAAGCAGACCAGTAGGTACGACGTGGTTCGTGATGAATTCATTAATTAACTACGACGTTTTCCAGGGGAAACCGGGCATAGGTCGATCTGCCAGGGTGTGTGATTGCTAGCAATCGATCCCTAGCCCTCATTATTAATACGAATCTTGCGAGAAATGAACAGCTTCCCTCTTGTTGCAACTCGAGCCTCACACCAGAGGATAAAGCATACTCTGTCATAGCGGAACTGCCTATGCCCACATTTTTCATAGAGCGAACGTGTTCAACCAGCCAGGACTCGTAATAATACAAAAATGATATTGTATATTTTGTTATTCTGTATATTATGGAATAATAACACCATAAAAATATCATCACATAAAACTATAAAATGAACTAGTTTATAGTGTCTTTCTGTTATCTGTAATTCAAACATAACTAACATTTCTCGAACGATTCGGTATTAATAAAAAATTGGTATTACTTAGCATGATTGCTTTCTGATCTTTAAAAAGGTTACTTACATATTTTTACATAACTTTTCTACAACGAATAGCGCCATTTGCAATCAAGTGATAAAAGCAACCTAATTCAAATTAGTAAAATTAGTTTCTAAATCGCTTTGCATAGGCGACGTTAATATTTGTTCGAGAATCCATTTTTAATAATACAAGTCAAAAATGGAACAATATTTATTATTAATCGTGCAATATTTTACTATCGTAAACTGTATTTCTATATATCTATGGGTACATAAGTAATATACGAGGTACCATTAGGCAAATATCTTGTAAAATGATACCTTTGTATCTATGTCGAAGTACGATTATCAAAAGGTGATAATATTTAAGTGAAGTGTAATGTAAAATTTTTATTTAAGAACTACTGTACTTCTAGCTAGGTTTACATAGATACCTAATTGTCACAGACTTTTTTTTATTATTATAAATTTATTATATTGTAAATAGAACAAAGTTTGCTCGTTTTAGTGTAATGCGAAAGTGATGTTTAAACTATTTCTCGTCAAATAAACGATTTTCGCGATCGTTTACGATGTTTTATTGTTAATACTTTATATTTATATATACTTAAATTTATTTTTTACCCTATCCTACATAGTTTGTATATTTGTAATAAAAGATTTTTTTAATTGATAATAATGGAATGGTAACCCCGTTTGCGCTAACGGTATACGCTGGCGAGGCACCAGTGAGTGATGATAGGTGAGAATGAAAAGGCAAGTCGATTAGCCCATCGTAATAAATACACTTGAATGGAACACGATGGTTTCCAGAGGGTCCACGTGTAGATCAACCTGATCCTAGTAGTAGACCTTAGACCTGACTAATTGCTAGCAATATACCCTATATTGCTAGCAATTAATCTTGTAATCCACGTTCTCGTAAATAAATAATAAAAAATAATCCACGTTTCTAAAAAAATCTTTCACGACCCCCCTTCTGAACTGAAAGATTTTGAAGCAATATGAAACAAGCAAATCATCATCTTCCTACCCTTATCCCAATCATTTGCGGTCAGCGTAATATGATTTTAGCCATATTACAAAAAGATTTGGTTTTTAGTTTTACGACCGGCCACCTGCCTGACGTCAACCCTCTTTGGGAATATCTTACCTTATTTTATCTATATAATAAATGAACCTGTACTTATACCTTTTTTAGGATAAACGCAAGTCACACGGCTGTGTGAGTCACACGGGTGTCTGAGTGAACACGGCTTACACGTCGCCCTCCCCTTTTAAATGAGTAGATTTATTAAAACTCCTTTCGAATTTCGACAGACTAGTATTTTGATATAGACTATTTTATAGACACATCCCATATGCGAGATGCTTATTAGGTAGTAATTATTACCAGGAATTAACGACAAATTCCCGGAGAGATTGTGTGAAGATGGATCATATTGTTTCACCTAACCTAAAAAATTAAGTTAACAATGAATCAATGGTAAATAAAAAATTATCGTTTATAACAAAAAAAAAAATAGGAGATTCAAGTACTAAGAAAATGGGGGGAAAGGGATTGTTAGTAATGGGGGTCAAATAGACCCATTACTAGCAATATACCCTATCAGGTCGACCTCCACGTGGTTCCCCATACCATTATCATCCATTAAAAAAAGACTAAGAAAATAATAAAATACCCATAAATTATAAATAAAATTAAACAGCGCCATCTCTAATATCTCATTGTTATTACAAAGCTTATGCTAAAAAGGTGTTGCTGTTTTGATACAATAGTTAACAGTTTTGCTGCAAGAGAGCGTAAATTTGACATTAGAGAATACTTTTTTTAATTATGGTTCCATTGAGGTTTCGATGATTTTGCCATTTTCAAGGTTAGAAGAGACTCTGCAATTTAATAAAGACTATTTATAAGAATGCTTCGACACCATGTTAATTAATCCCAGATCTAATCATCTGCTGTCTATCAATCAAATAATTGTCATAATCAATTGACATTTGTCATTGTCAAAATTGTCATTTAAGTTCTTAGGTTGTTTATTTTCACAGAGTACATTTATTTACTTCTCCAATCCAATTTTCGAATTTTAGTGATATATCCTTTTTTTATTAGGTTCATTTTAACATTTACGTTTGTGTTATAAAAGTTGTCATTAAACATAGTAGTGTAATAGATTATTTGCTAAAATATTGCTCGACTTTAGTATTACAACTAAATGATTGTTGATTGTAATATTATAACCTATAAGGTATGCAATTAAAACAAATACAGGCATAAAGTACACAGTGAATAAAATCAAGTGTATCTCAAAAGTATTATTATCCTGTATTAACATTAAATTTCTTTAAAAATTTCAGAGAAATGGCAGAATTAAACGTAGACGAAACCATAACAAAATACGAGAGCTTCATTAACGATGTTCTAAAAGAAGACTTGCGACAATTGCACCAGCGACTGCAGGGTGTTAACGCAGAGATATCTGATTTAATACAACAGAAGCACACATTAAAAGTTATCACTAACAAGCAAACACACCCACATGGGTTTAAAACACAAGTAAATATAGGTTGCAATTTTTTCATGGAAGCCGAAGTACCTGATACATCCACTTTACTCATGAATATTGGTCTGAATCACTATTTAGAGTTAAGTATAGAAGAAGCAAATAAGTATTTAGATGTAAGAATAAAAGCTTATGAGAAGAAAGCAGAAGAATTGCAACAGAAAGCTGCTGAGACTAAGGCACATATAAAGATGATGTTATTCGGTATTGGAGAGTTACAAAACAGTGCTTCAGGGAAAAAAAGTTGATAATTTAATAAAATTATATTGTCAAAATTTGTTTAAAAAGTTACAATTTGTTTATTGTTATATTATTATAATCAATTACAATCATACTTAATGAAAACATAAACAAGTTTTGTTGAAATTATCACAGAAATATTCACATAATGAAATTAGTTTGCTAATAATTGCTTGATAATTGGATTATTTAATAAATTAAATTTTTATTTGTATAACTATTGGATATCAGCAGATGGTCTTTTTGTCAAGTTAATTATTAATTTGTTTACATTTTGATCGAGTTCTATCGTAACAGACTATAGTAAAGCAAATTGGCTGCTTGAAGGTCAGTGGCTACTATGACCTATTAATATTGTAATATCTGAGCCATCACCGTCACATTGCCTTTAGACTTTAATATTTTGGGTAACAATTTCATTGCCATATCTCATTACATTTCATGTAATTTACTATTTATTGTGTTGTGATAGAATTTCTTATCGTCGTATCAACTTGATGATTATTATTGAACATAGGCCTCCTCCATAAGGGATGGTTTTGCCAGTAGTTGCTACAATTAAAGAGCAGATTGGCAACTGAAGTTAGGCTTTGCAGATGTTTTAAGAGGACTGAAGGAATTTCTTATACTGATAATATTACTATTACAAATTTTTTTTATTATAAAAGCATTGAAACCAAATATAAGTGTATGTATTGATATCTGTATAAAAACACTTGTACTCTTCTAATTTCATTGTTTTAAGGCTTACAATAAAATTGCAGGATTATTTATGCTACAATGTGTTCTTTTTTTTTAATAAAAAAATGTTTATTACCAAAAAGGAACATTAGAAACAGAACAGAACTATTATAGTGCTTATATGGATATACTGATGGTAATGTTTACTTTCATAATGTAACTGCATCATGAAAAATCTGCATTACTATCAGCCCCCAAACTAAGTTAGACTTGTAACTTAAGAGCCAATGAAATAGGGATCGAATCAAATTTACATTAACTACCACATCAAATGCACATAACTTTATATTTTCTTATAATCATTTGTAACACAACTGTTTTTATGTATAATATCAATATGAATTTAAAATTTTACCAAGTGCCAACAGATATTAATTTATTTATAGCACAAATATATAATATTTAAAAAATCTGTCTTTAAATTTGAACACAGTATATAAGTATTCTGCTTGACAACACAATTTATTATAAGCAGGGGGTTAAAAATCCCAGTGTACGCAAATTATAAACGAATTAACATTGTATAACCAGCCAATGTAAATGTACTAATTCATTAATATTGTTTCCTAAGTACAAGAGGTCTATTAAACTAGATGGGTTATGCAAATCAAATCCTATTATGATTAAATAAAAAGAATCTATTTGTATATTGCATTTAAATATTTATGCATGTGTATTTTTTCTAAACCTATTAATTGATTAAGGCATTTATATATAAAAATACTTAGGAATAAAAAATTTGCTGAAATTGCAAATTAAAATCTACAATCTGACTAAAAAAATATCCAGTGAAGATTTTAGTGAGATATTAATAAATAAATGTTATTTTTAAATATCTATTACAATATGTTTTTTATTTAAGAAAATCCTAAATCGAAAGGTTTATAAACAACAGTGAGATACGTAGTACTTAAGGGCTGAAATTTCTGGCGTTAAATAAAATTTGATATACAGATAGGCCATGCTCTACATTAACATTTGGGGTTAAATTTTTATCCTAATTTACGCGGAAAATACCTCGGTACATAGCTAGTAATATTTAATTACTGATCATAGAATTTATTGAAAAAGAAGTTCCGTGCATACAAGAAATATTTGTTACGGTATTATAAAAGAATCCTCATAATAGGTGACCAAGGGGGGGGGGGGGGGAGGGAATGTTAGTGATGGAGACTGAGAATCCCATTGCTAGCAATATACCCAACCAGGTCGACCTCCTCGCGGTTGACCCTGGAAACTATCATGATTAACTCCTGATGAATTCATCATGATGGGCTAACAAACCCAGGTGACCAAGGTAAAAACGTACCGTGCCATGCAAAAAAAAGCCGTAATAAAAAAAACAGTTAAATTGTTAATAACTTTTTAAGTCAGTTAAAAAATAGGTTCATTAAGAACTCCACCCTCCCGAGTACATCACCTAGCACTTCAGCAATGTAACTCGTTAAGTGACTATCGAAAACTCAATTAGGTCTGAAGATTCGCAATCAGTTCCAATCTTGCTGCAGTAAACTGTTTGATTAGGGTTGATTTAAATAATCGCTAGTCTCAAGATCTAGGGGCTTGTTAATGACTCAATTGGTGGAAAAACTTGAATTATATTAGCATAATCATATTGGTGACTGAGTTAGATGTTTGGTTTTGTCTTGAAAGGCGATAAATTATGGTTTTGTTTAATGGGTGAAAACTAAACGGTGAACCCACTTGTGTTATCGTTGTATACTGGCGATGTACCAGTGAAGGATGATAGGTGAGGATGGAAGAAGGTCGATTGGCCCATTGTGATGAGTTTGACAATAATCAAGCACGTGATTTGCAAGGGAAACCACGTAGAAATCGACCTGATAGGGTATATTGCTAGGCTATGGGACTTTTAAACAGTTTAGTTTTAAAATGGAATAGTAACCCCGTAGTAGTAAGTAGGTGAGGATGAAGCAAGTCAATTGTCTTATCGTGATGAATTCATCAAAAATTAACCACAATGGTTTCCAGGGATGAACCGCGTGGAGATAGATCTGTTTTTTGTTTAATAAGTGTGAATAGAATGGTAACCCTGTCTGCGTTATCGGTATACGATGGTGGGTCACTAGTGAGAGATAATAGGTGGGTTTTATTGCTAGTAAGGGACCTGTTATATCTCATTACTAATAATCCCCTTCCCCTTCGATTTTGATGTTGCTAATAGTTGATATCTACCTAGGTGAGTATTTAGATGAAAATGGAATAGTAACTCCGCTTGCGTTGCTAGTTTATGTCGATGGAATGGGGTGAAACATGAAGAAATGATAGGTGTGGAACTGCGGTTAACGTTAGGTTAGCTGCCCTTGGTAAAAGATATGACTATCAATGCTAAATCCTATCAATATAACAATTAGAATATTTTTTATTCAAGTACACATAGTTCATCAGAATTCCTAAGAGCACTGGTCTGGCATTGAAGATACGAGTTCAAACTCCTTTTGCAATAAATTTTTAATCACACGATAATATCATTGTCAAATAATAAATAATCGTATATTAATAATAGGTTACTACCTATTACTATACCTACTTATACCGTTAGCGTAGGCGCGGTTAGTATTCCATTATCATCCATTAAAAAAAAACTACTATAGTTCTACTGTTAGTTTCTTATTTATAACACAAAGCGAACCGCTCATGATCATCCGCAACACTAGAGGAATTGCAGGTGTGCCACTAGCCTTAAAAAAAGGAATGTACTCTTCTTGAAGGTTGCGATGTTAATTCGGTTCGGAAATACTGCTGCTGAAAATTGATTCCAAAGAGTAGTTGTGGGTGGAAGAAAGTACCTACGAAAATTGCACAATGGAGGACCGTCACTCATCCAGATGGTTGGGATGGAACTTTAATTTGTGGCGGGTTGTGCGGTGGTGGAAATCAACAGCCAATCAATTCCTCAGAGCACTCCTCATGATTAATTCCGTAAAAAATGCACAAAGATGCAATATGTCTATGCAGTTTCAGTGGGTCGAGTCGGAAGTAATTGATTTTGATTAATCGATTAATACAAATCCTACCTAGAATTTTGCTTAAGCTTAAGTCATACATGCTGATGGAGATATTAGTTGAAATAAAAATAATTTATTAAAAGTTATTTTATTTAGGTCTAAAATATTACAGTATTCTTCGTGACACCCCATCTGCTTAATTTATCAAACAAAATTATTCACAAAAAGAGCTTCTTTAAGTAACAACTGGTAATTTCATAGAATACGTATAGATGGCGCTGATTACTATTTTGTAATACTGCCGTCTGCAATAAATCACATTACAGTATGCGTACATAGATGTCGCTGATAAAAATGCATGGTTTCTACAACACGATATTAAAGTTTTTTCAGTTTTCATGACCTCGGCGCTGTGGTATAGCCCTAGTTATCGCTTCTCGGCCTTTTGGCTAAGATCAAAGTGTAGTATCTGTTCTTATCAGCTTAATATCTGATACGTCCCTCACTGAGGGACCAGTATATTAAACTGATTTTTGTAAACCGACGGGATGTTCGGGGCTCGCTCCACTCCCGTCACGGGTCGGCCCGGCATTGCAGTGTCGCCGGGATTGGCCCACATAATTCACAAAAAACTTCATCATTCTCTTCCGGTAACTACTGCTTACCCAACAGTTTCTTATTCTAGTATTTCTTGCAGTTTTCTATGCATCAACTATAATAAAGTACCCTATGGTGCATTTTCATCATTAACATATTACGCGTGATTGTGTAACAAACATTTTTACAAATTTTGTTTTTAGTCATAAAAGTTTAAACAATGATCAATCATCACCCATTTCATACAAGTCTGTAACGTCAGAATAACATTCTCGCAAAAATCTTGAAGTGTTTATAATATAATATATCGCCGTGTGGTCCAGCCATAGAATGGGTCACGCCTTTTCTTTCCCGTGGGTGTCGTTAGAGGCGAATAAGGGAAGTAAATGGTCGAAGAATGGGTAGCAGCACTCCCTCTTAAAACATCACCAAAGCTTAACTGCGGTTGCTAACCCGCTTGCCAAGCATGACAACTACTGGCAAATCCTCCCAATAGGGGGAAGTCTATGTTCGGCAGCGGACAGCTAATTTCTGATATAATGATGATAATCACTTGCTTATAGTCATTTGTAGGTATTAAGTAATCTACAATTTTATTTTAGCCAAAATGGCTAAGGTCTTTCGGGTAGTACAATGTAAATATTTACTAGGGGTATAGGGCTCGACTTCCACGTGGTGTTCTCTGGAAACCATCTTGGTCAATTTCTGATGAATTCGTCATGATACGACAAAGAACCTCACTTTATCCTTGTCTATCATCACTTACTGGTCTCTTACCAGCGTAAACCAATAACGCAGATTGGGGTAACTTTTTTAATGTCATACTATTTGGGGAGAAAGGATTATTGGTAATAGGGATTAGTAACCCTATTTCTAGCAATATACTCTGTCAGGTCGACCTCCTCGCGGTTTCCCCCGGAAACCATTGTGATTGATTTGTTTTTGACTTCGTCACGATGGACCAACGGACCTGCTATCATTTTCATTTATCATCCCTCACCGGTGCCCCGCCAGTGTATACTGATAGCGCAGGTGAGGTTACCATTTCATTATCGTCCATTAAAAAAATCATACTATTAAGAAATAGAATGGGTCAAATAGGTCTAGTAAAATAAAAGGCATTATTCAAATAAAAGCTTAGCTTTATTACTCGTTATATTCACGAAGAAACATCCCTCACTGGTAGATATCAACAAGTCCTCATGCTGACACTGCTGTTAGAGATACAACTTATGTTTCACCGTACTCAATTGTATAATTTTGATAATTTTGATCAACAAATTTAGAACCGCCAATATTATACCAATAGATACACGAACGTAGTTTGCAACGAACAATCAGTCTCGCGACTGTAGATTTAATTTAGATACATTTTTTTTCCATTCCACAATCAATTAAATTATTCACCTTTATGTCTAATACACCAAACAGTGGTTAGATCCTAAAACATTCACGGACAAAGACACACGCTCGTAAATTATAAGCATTATGACAATGTGATATTATATTAATGTATAAGTATTGTTGTATTATTAAGAATCGTAATAATTAATGCGTAGTTAGGTTAGGTTGTCGTGACATTAGGTATGATTTGTCCGAGGCCCACAGATTACAATAGTGACCCGCTAGCAGCCATTCTAAGACAAATACCGAGGAATCGTTTACATTTTTTTTTCACTTTTCACCTTAAAATTGCTTTTAAATTTATCTTTTTTACATCCAGAACCATATAAACATCTTTGAGTTATTTATATATTTTTTTTATCTATATAAACGGCCGGCCGCTCCGCCGCCCCGTTGCCGAGTCGGTCAACTTTTTATTTACAAATGGTTAATGCTCCTAAACGTTTAATATCCGACGCTATTCTTAAAATTAAATACAAAAAACGCATGACATTCTAAATTTATCTAATGTCCCATTTTGTCATTGCTATAATTTACGAAATTTTGATCTTTACACCAACTTTAGAAATATTCAATACAAAAATACTCTTTTTGAATAAAATTTTATACACGACTCGTTATATCGTCGGCCCGGGGCGAGGCGACGGGGCGGCCGCCTCGAAAGAAAAGCTTTGAGCCTCGTAACCTTAACATCATGAAATTTGTACTAAATATATCGAAACGAGCGGACGCGGAACCATTATCACTTAGCCGAAATGCGAGGATACCGAAACGATGCCTAAATACTAGTCAAATTTCAATTTAATGGCCCGCGATTCTGTGTCCACCTCGCGTGTTGCCAACTGCCACAGTGGTACAGACGGCGCGGCGCGTGGACACAAGACCTTGAGTCAACTTAAAATAATTTCGTTTTACAAATTTTGTAACTAATTTTATCACGAGGTATCCGCATCAGCTCGCCGCAGTTTACAAATATATTAAAACGAATCGGCGCCACAAACGTGGACTGCAGTTCATTAAAAAACTGAATTTAACATACATAATATATACTTAATTGTACACGTAATAATACGAAATGAACGTATCGCTGTTACGAATGAAGACCACAAGGATATTGAAAATAACAATAGGTTACTTTCGGGATAATAGAAAATTATGAACATATTAGACCTAGCTGGTCTTATAAATTGATTTGTTTGTAATTTGTTCGTACAATCAAAAAATTGTGTAATCGAGCCTATCTTACTTAATTTATTATGATAAGCGTCGGCAGTATTTGTTATAAGACATTCTAATAGTATATCCGTGCTCAGTTTTGTCATTTTTAACCAGATACAAACGAATGATACTTATCATAACTACCTAATTTCATCAGAATTTCTCTTATTGAAAATTTTCACGTATAGAAAAGTTGATACAGCTATTTGGTACACCTAAATGTTTTCTAACTCTCAAAAATGAATCGCTACATACAATAGAGTCTATTACAATTTCGAAAATTTAGGAACCATAATACCCAAACGTGAAACCGAATACATTCTACATTATATTGTTTTTATTTATAATTAATTTTGGAAATAAATAAATATTTATTTCATTTTACATTGATAGATCGAAACATTTCATAGACGGACTCGAAATTACTAAAAATGTAAAGTAAAAACATTAGATACAATTTATGAAACATAAATAAACTATATCATCTAGATACAAAATTTTCATAAACGATAAGAACCGATGTCGCCAAAAGGACAAATTTAATAGATCTACATACATAATAATACAATACATACAAACATGAGTTTTAAAGTCAACACCGAACTTTGTACTTTTTCTGTGGGATAGCCCCCATGATCACTGCGGACTAAATATTTCGATGTTTCAAACTCGAGTCTTTACATTAATATAGAAAAATTGTCAACCCATAACTTACAAATAATCCGTACACCCAATAATTTAAACATGGTTTGATCACATATCCATTGTGGTCTCATAGCGGCTGTAACACAGTGCATCACTGAAGTATAAAATCCGGATCAATATGTAATAGAGAATTGAATTAAAATTAATCAATCAATATTATCCTCAAGATTTTCTTGCCCAAAATTATATCCTAAAACATTAACGGCTCCAAGTATCTGCAAATTACGGCATGTCGGTTATATACTGTTGGTGGAAAATCAATACTTTTCTATTGTAATATGTGTTGTGTAGCCTGCATTAACTTCTATTAGATACGAAGAAATCTATGGAGAGATCGGAATAACGGATATTACTTACTATACAAGGAATTAAGTACAAGATAAATACCAGTTTAGAGCTAAAAAGTTACTAGCTAAATTATTTTCCTCAACAATTCCTCTACCCGATTTGTACCTATAGTAGCCTTAATATTCTCTATATTTGAAATCAAACAGACTCGCTTAAAAGTAATCAATTCCATCCTTCAATTCAAATTACTCCTGGAAAATAGATATGCCGAGTTAGTAAATAATCTGTTCTTTATCTTTCCTCCCCTTAGCTCTAAAATGGGATATCTAATGGTACGATTGAAACAAACAACATGTAACAAAACACAATGGTAACGTAACACGGAACGATGCTCTATCTCGAATAAGCCCTGCGGCGACTGCGTACATGCTTACTAACCGACGCGAATCGTGGAAAATTAACCCGGGCTATTATCACTGTGAATGTTTGGCTGGTATTGGGTATAAGTCATTACCACGCGACCGAAATACATCTGTTCCGATCGGCTAGTAGTGACTAGGAGAAAATTTCGAACTGAAAACCATGGTCCTAAAGAGGGGGAAGCTGCGTGTATTCATTTTAAGTGTCTATGTCTTGAAAAGTTCCGTATCTCTCACCTAACCTGAACGCAATTCTAAGCACACCAGTCGACGCCTGGTCCATCCTAAACTGAGGTACCCTTATATTATCGTAATAGATCAAATGGTTACAAATGAAACGATAACAATCGTGTAATATCAAATGAAAAATGCTTACACTTGCTTAGCTAGGGCCGGCCGTCTTACTAGCGCAGGTTACGGTACTGTAAACTCAAGATGGCATAACATTTGTACAATTCCGCAAATCAATTCGCAATTTTCCATTGTTTTCTATTGAGCCTTACGTAAATACCATTAGCGCTAAGATAGTTTACGGATTATCATCTTTTCTGTATTAAAACTATTGTATTATGTACATTTGTATTGATATATGACATACAATATGACATCTCTGTACAACTATCTATTTTATTAGTTTAGATCTATTTGAGAAGCGAAATAATATATTTCTGTGTCCTGATGAACTGAGGATGTGAACTGAAAGTGTGACCGCGTAGCTAGATGGACGGCCGGCAACTACATGTTATAACAAATACATCGAGATATGCGGCTCTGTTGAAGCTTGCCACCTGATGAGTTAGTTCTTCAGTTTGTACTACTCTAATGTTTCTGACCTCATCTAGGTATTATTACATTCACCGATCATTAGACAACAAGCTTCGAGAAATCCGCGCTACATATATCTACGAATCAAACTAATTATTCTTCTATAGTATAGTAGTAAGTATGTATACTGACTGTTCGATACGGCGAACTTATAATGCGTGTGCGAGGCGAGCTGTGGAATGCGAGCGGTCCGCGGCGACTTCGACTGGGCAGTAGGTTCTATTGAGGGCCCTTTGTTATAATTTCATATTAACTTTTCTCGTAAAAAATCAACATTTCTTTGAAGGCACTTCTGATCGGACGAGGTGGCCCAGTGCAATTTTATGGATATATGACTTTGCCAAATGGTGTTGCAATATTTTCGTTTGTGGTGGGTTTGGGAGTATTTCTGTCTATGGAGATTTGTTGCCTTCAACTATTGTGTTTATTTGGTATGTGCTCGTGTCTGTGTAATTGAGAGCCGCCGCGGAACGTTCGCGTGCGGAGCAGGCATGTCACCACTGAGCTACTTTGAAAAAATATAGATTTTTTTTTATAGGTATGTCGTGAACAATAAATTGTCGAGAAAAAATAGAAATGTAGTGAACTGTAATATTAGATATATGGAAAAAGGAAAATTAATTGAACATAAAAAGTAATTTGTGAAGTTAATTAAGTTGGGAGTGACTTGACGCTCCGCACATTAAGATGTTATTAGCATAGCGTTATGCGCCCACGCATAATTTTGGAAAATAGTATTTTTATCTAACAAATAAACTTAACCCTATGTCCGGAGCGAAGTTATATCGCAAATATCCCGGACTAACTGAGGATGAGACCCGAACTTTTTCGAAATATTGAATATCAAATTAAGATGCTTACGTGAATCTGAAATAATGATGTTTAAAATTATTTTTGAATTTTGTGACTGCATTATATTTATTGTATTGAAAATCTCTCTGCAAGAACTTAAAACTGGCTATCAGTATAAAAATAATCTGTAAAGTCTTTGTTTGTGGATCGAAAAATAACCCTGCTCTATTGTACTAATGACTATGGTTAACGTTAATTATTCCTAAAATAATTATGACGAGGTAAAGGTTGACAATTTTGGGCGACGCGAGGCGTGCCTGCATAATCAAACACTACCAGGAATAAATAAACTTAAACATGATCCAAAGGACAAGGAAACAAGGATAAAACAAAATAAAAACAACAAAATGTTCAAAACTTAAGCAGTTATAATATATTAATCGATTTTTTTCCTTAGAATAAATCAATAAATGATTTTATGATATACACAACTATAAAAACCATTTTAAGATAATACTTAATAATAATATAATAATAATTATATATAGCGAAATATATTATGTGCAGAAATAAAATTCTAGGTGACTTAAATTTTCTCTTACTCGTTTAACCTAATGAATTTCCTAGGAGAGCGCGGGCCGCGGCGTGGGCAGCGGCCGCCGCGCCACGCCGCTCGACGTGCAACGTACAAATTCAATTTTTTTAATAATTTAAATTTAACTTTTTTTATCGATAATTTTGAATCTGAAGGCCTAAATGCGAGTGTCGTAAAATTTTGGTGTGCGAAACAATCGTCCAATGAATTTCATATTTTGTCTATAAATTAGTTATGCCGAAACAGTGTGTGCATCGATTCATAGCGGCGCTCACTCCAATTGCTCAAGGAAGTTCGGCGACTTGAAGTACTCTGGCACTGGGTCGTCGAGCCGCGAGATCACCTTATAGATGGATTTCTTCCAGCTCTGTTCCGTGTCCTTCCCGCTTTGGATTGCGCGGAAGAACTCGCGAAGTGTCTGCTCCACCACATATCTGAAGTTGGGAGGCACCTGAAGCGAGAAATAAAGTATATTTTAATATGAACTAATTGTAAAGCATAATCGGTAAAATCATTATTGCTATTAGTTTTTGAAAATTATTTATTACCTAATACGAGATGATTTAAATTTTGGAAGCAATCCTCAGCGCCACCTATCTAGTTAAATTTTTCTTATCAGAATAAAAACTATCCTTTCTCTAAAGTTGAAACTAATGATAAACATTTAAAAAATATAATCAAAATCGGTTGAGGGCTTATGAAGATTTGCGTGAATGAATAATGACATACGAATTTCTATATATTAAGATATAAAAGATAGGCATAGTTCATTATTTGATATCTCTTATATTTACCTCGATGTGGTTATTTCTGTTGTAATGCAAGTTGAGAACCCTATACAGTTCTGAGTCACCAGCCACGTGGAGATCGTCTGCCGCCTTCAGACCTTCACTGATCGCCTGTCGTGCGTACTTCTCCATTTGTATGTAATAGAACTCCCTGAAAAGACAGAAAGATCTAAATTAACTATGGCGTAAGAAACAAGACGTTTTGTCCTAATAAACAATATTGGTATGATATGATCTTCGGGAATTCCATAAACCAAACCTCTATAGAATAGCAAAGAGGTAAAATTATAGAAAGGATGATACCTATATTCGACGCTGGCAAGACAAAACGTATTAAGCGCCATTTGCTGTGTCAATATTTGGAGCTATGTGTAATAGGTACTGGGATTACGAGTATTATGATGGCATCAAGTATCTACAGCGTGACACTTCACGGCACAATGAGAATAAAAAGCCCTCGAAACCCGTTGAGAGTGGGAAAGGATTTGATTAGCTATTTTCGCTCTCCGCACGGCGTGTCGCATCATTTCGCTATCTTCGCTTCGGTTCGCTTACGAGAGCGCGTTGAGCGAATCGAGAGTCTCGCGAGGCTAATTACTTACGAGTTCGCATTCAGACCGGGCTAATTCAGTTTCGCGTTCCTGCAAGTGACGCGTGGTTGCAGGTTTTCAAGGGTTACGAGACTCAAAAGGAAAATGGCAACTGTCGGATACACATATATGTATGTGTACGTTGGTGTTGGTATGCTAACTTTTCCTCCCACCTGTTTCTTTTTATGTTTGTTGTTATAATGTGAATATTGATTGTTTAATTTTGTTGTGATGATATCACCGTTTCTGTTAACACTCGCCTACGCCCCCTGTTATTTTTCAACGCAGGAAATTGCAACATTTTATATTTATCAACTACAATAAAATAAATATAAAATGTAAACAAATATAAATATTACTAATAAACAATAGTAATATTTTTATTTATTTAAGATTTCAATTAAGTCACAATTCGTTTTAGTTTCTGTCAACTATATAGTAGGTAGAATCAAAATCTTAGTATTACATTACTAAATCCCGAAATAGTCTGCCATTACTGTGGATCATCTCTAAGCCACTTTCCAGAAAAAGAGACACTCATTGCACTCGCACGAGAGCCTTCTATTATTTTTTAATTGGCACTCTGCGCGAATTGAAACCTTACTAATTGATAAGTAAATGTATTCAAAATTATTTATTGTAATTGTTCACGCGTTAGGTGATGTGACTTATTGTGCATGATTACTATGCACATAAACTCAGTTTATTAAATCTTATATACTTAGGACTTTATTAGTATTTTTTAGTATTATCATTAAAATTAGGTTATAATTAGTTTTAAAAAAGTTTATTGACTATAAAATAGAATTTTTTATTTAATTTTGCCAACTGTTAAGATTGCAAAAAAAGTTTAGATATATATAAAAAAAAAAATTACATTACCTCTACAGATTGCTTAATATGTTTCCGTTCATAATCTAATCTTTCCTTTTTTATTAAGTAATATACTAACTTAATATTAAAATAACATTTGCACACATAAATTGAAAAATTAATATTGTCATAATAAATTATAGTAACCAAAGCACAATTTGATTTTAAAAATAGTTTTGTATTTTATTGGTCAAACATAAAAATTAAATACGTATCTCTCGTAATAGCTGCCATACGTTAATATTTAAAGATTACAGATTACATTCAAGTGTTCTCAGATGTTTTTTAATGTCTTCAATAAGTATTAAGTGTATCAGATTATTTTGTGTGTGTGAGACATTATGACTTGTCAAGTGCGACCTATAATTAGGTTGTTGATGCCAATTAAAATTCTTACACACTCGTGCTTCACGATAAACTGTTTTATAAGGAAATATATTTTCCTTGTTAATCGTTGAAGGGAATTTTTCATTTGTATAAAATTGTAAATTTCAATATTGGAATGTATTTATGTGTTGTCGGACTTAACTACGCAATAAATATTAATTCTACATAATTCCTATGTAAATATGTACTTCTTAAATATTATTTAGTCAATATTCGATTCTATTGTCTTTGAATAAGGTTCGTTTATTCATGATAGTTACCTAACGGTAGTCCAATTACCTATTTAAGATACAATAAGAGATCACTTTATGATCGTTTGTTGTTAAAAATTATATTATTAAGACGATTGCTTCCTAATCGCTGTACAGGATAAATGCACTGCTCTACCAAAGTAGAAATAGAATTTTGATGACCTTGGCATTTTAATATACCGATGGATATGGGTTCGATTCCCATATACTACAAAAAATTTTATTTGATTATGTTTGTTTGTATATTAGTCTGGGTGTTTTCCATATATTTTTGATAGATATACAAACTTTCAGATTTATACTAGTAGATATCATGATAACATCCTCCCTGTAACTATCCAATGCTGAACATAGGGGGAGGGATTGTTAGTAAAGGGGAGGTTAGTCCCCATTGCTATCAATATACCCGATTAGGTCGACTTCCACGACGTTCCCCTTGGAAACCATCGTGACTAATTTATCGTTGAATTCGTCACGATGGGCTAACTGACCTGCTTTCATCCACACCTATTATCTCTCACTGGTGCCCCGCCAGTGTATACCGATAGTGCAGGCGGGGTTACAATTCCATTATCATCCATTAACAAAAATGCTGAACACAGGCCTCTCCTTGGAGGGTTTTGCCAGTAGTTGCCATGCTTGTAGGCAGATCGGCAACCGTAATTAGGCTTTGGAGACGTTTTAAGTGGGACGCTGCTGCCCTTCCCTGGCTCTCCCTCAGTCGCCTTTTACGATAGCCACGGGAGAGTATGGGCTGACGTATTCTATAGAATCGTCCCGGTATACCGGGACCGCACAACAAATTAATATTTGTATAATTGTTGTAAACAATATTGTTGAATTTAAATTATCACAGTAATAATAAATTAAATTAGTAACAAATTGAAACATTAAATAGATTTTTTTATATGTAGGTACTACTATTGGGTATTAGTAGACTGTCTTTTAGTCGATTTAATTGTCCTTTTGTTTACATTTTCATTAATTTCTATTGAAATAGACCATAGTGAAGTTCTTGCTCCATCTTCTATCAAAAGTTGAAACGAAATTAATTTTTTTTAAGTATATGTTATATTTTAATGCAAGAACAGCCGGATTGAATTACGTGTGTTACTCGTGTATGGCTTGTGTTAAGGCCACTTATGAGTAAGGGCCCCGAACGGACATGAAACTAGTCTAGCTTTCTCGATTAAAATACAACGTAAGTTATTCAGTTGTTCTTGCAATAAATTTGAGCGAATTGTTCAATTTACTTTGGAGTTTAGGAGAAATCGTAACGATAACAATCGTCACGTAATGATGACGTTATTGGTAAGCAAACGGCGTGTGCGCACGTCTATTGAGAACATGCGGGTGGCGCGGCGTGTGGAAAACGTGCAAATTGCAAAGAAATACACTGTTGAGTTTAGTTATGCAGTGTTAAAATCATTTATATTCATATTCGGAGTGATTTACATAAATTATTATTTAAAAAAATGCCATGTGGTCTCGGCATAGTATAGGCCACTTTTCCTTGAGTGTCGTAAGAGGCGACTAAGGGAACTTAATGGTCGAGGATAGACAGCAGCTTTTGGCAATATGTTAAGAGGTTTCTTAGTTGCTTTTTTTACGATACCTACGGGAAAGGGGTGGCCTATTCTATGCCGGGACCTCATGGCATTGATTTTTATTTCCGACGTTAATTTATAAATTTATTTCTAGTAAAATATGCCAATAATTATATTTTGTAGTTTCATCATGATTTTCATATTTTAATTAGAATCTAATTATAAATAAATCTTTAGAAAATAAGTTTTATGGTTTTGTCCATGACTAGATTTAGTCCTATATAGAACATTTCTCTCTCAAAGATTGTTTTAAATTGTAACCTATATAGCTGTAAATTTTATTATGTTGTTATTTTTGTGAGAGAAATAAATATATATTTTACTTTACTTTACATGTCTCGTCATCTTCATCAAAATAGGTGCGTGATCTTTCGAAAACCGTTACAACTGTGAGAATCAGCTGTTTGCATTTGCGATTGTTCACACATTCACCCTCAATACGTTGGCAGGTTTTGGCAATAAGCATTCAAACAATTTCAAGCTCTATCCATTTAGAATTAAAATCGAAAATAGAATTTACTATTGCAATTATGACTCGGAACCGAATGGAAACGGCAGTGTAATAAGAATTCTAAGGGATGCCTGGTAGCTTTAAAGGATATAGGACTTTACTATTTGGTATTACAGTTTAATTTTAAATCGAACCTGGTGACTATTGTTCTCAATTTCTTAAGATTTCTTAAGACGTTGGAAGCATCTTGCGTTTACCTGAATGCAGACTTGGTCGTTTGTTAGGCAGCAGTTGCAATATGTTTTTTGCGAGACACTTTTATAAGCAAACTTATATAATGAAGCAGACTTGATGTTGGATGCTCCAAGATTTTATAGAACTTGGACTTTATGACTAAAGGTGAATTTAGACAATTGAAAATAAATAATGGATTAGGACTGAAAATTAAAATATATTCATATGAATACGCAACGATGTTTTTTTTAATGGGTGAAAATGGAATGGTAACCCCTGCGCAATTGGTATACCCTGACGGGGCATCAGTGAGAGATGTTAGTTAAATGACGACGAAAGCAGGTTAGTTGGCTCATCATGACGAATTCCACAAGTATTAACCACGATGGTCTCCAGAAGGCACCATGTGATGGCTGAATTGATATATTGCTAGCAATGGGGCTTTTAGACCACCGTTATTGACAATTACTCCCCCCTCCCCTGCCCCCCTTGTAATATTGTTGAATCATATAAGAAATATATTGAATTCAAAGCAAATATATATTGAAATAGTTTCAACTCGCTACTTCGTTATTTTGATAGGAGATAAGAAACGATACATCCACGAGATATATTAATTGATCAGAATAAAAAGTAGCCTACTTCGTTCTCCATTCTAAATAGTACGTACAAACTATATTTTACGTTGATTGGTTGAGTTGTTAAGGCGTCAAAAGGTAACAAAAATACAAACAAACTCAAGTAAAATCTTCAAAATT